AAGAATGAAGCACCGCGCGGACCTGAGCGTGACCTCCCCGTCCCTGGGGGGCTGCGACCTGCGAAACTGACACCACTTTCGAGGGCCGCTGGTGGGTCCAGCGGAGAGAGGCACCGCGCGGACCTGAGCGGGACTTCCCCGTCCCTAGGGGGCTGCGATCCGCGAAACTGTCGCCACTTTCGAGGGCTGCTGGTGGGTCCAGCGGAGTGAGGCACCGCGCGGACCTGAGCGGACCTCCCCGTCCCTGGGGGGCTGCGATCCGCGAAACTGTCGCCACTTTCGAGGGCTGCTGGTGGGTCCAGCGGAGCGAGGCACCGCGCGGACCTGAGCGGGACCTCCCCGTCCTTGGCGGGCTGCAATCTGCGAAACTGTCGCCACTTTTGAAGGCTGCTGGTGGGCTCGCCACTTTCGAAGGCTGCTGGTGGGTCCAGCGGAGTGAGGCACTGCGCAGACCTGAGCGGGGCCTCGCCGTCCTTGGGGGGCCATGTCATATTGTTGCTGCCCCGCCGACGTTTCAAGCCCCTTGCCCACCGTCTCATTTTGGACCTTGCGTCTTCCTTAGTGACTCAGGGGTTCACTTAGTTACTCATCGTGCTTCCCTTGATTGGGGGCCTGCGAACCTTCCGAATGCCGCTCGCAGAAGTATATGCGTCCATGCCACATCGCCGCCTCCTTCTCGTCAAATCTCCCAGGCTACTCCTGCCCCGCACAGCGCAGGGGTTGGGTTCGTCGCCAGGGTAACTGTTTACTATTTTTGCAAATTCCCCCTGTAGAGGGACAGGCCCGACGTCAAAACCTGGGGAGGCCTGGACCTCCGCCGCGGGCAGCATTGGAGCAGCCGCCGCGGCGGCAGAGAGCACCGGCGCCGCCGCCGAGGCGGCGTGCCGCTATGGGGAGCGGGCCCCGCCTCGGCGGCGCGTGCTCGCCAAGGGCCCCGGCGTCCGCCTCGAGCCTCGCGAGGGTGTCGCGCAGGCCTGCGGGAAGCACGAGGCCCGCCGGACCAGCGAGCCCAGCGCAGGTGGAGCGGAGGAGGAGGAGGAGGAGGAGGAGGAGGAGGAGGAGGAGGAGGAGGAGGAGGAGGAGGAGGGGGAGGAGGGGGAGGAGGGGGAGGAAGAGGGGAGGAGGGGGAGGAGGGGGAGGAAGAGGGGGAGAAGGAGAGGAGGAGGAGAGGAGGAGGAGGAGGAGGAGGAGGAGGAAGAGGAGGAAGAGGAGGAGAAGGAAAAGGAGGAGGAAAAGGAGGAAGAGGGATGAGGAGGAGGAGGAGGAAGAGGAGGAGACGGGGAACGGGGGGGGCCGTCCCCGAGGGGGGGGCATCGAGCTAGAATCGACGATGCATCGCCAATGGACCGGCAATGGGCCCCTGCTGGCAAGTCCACACGCTCCATAGCGGGGTGGGCTACCAGGTCCCTATCGGCGACAAAGGAACAGTTGGAGGTCGATGTATCTCCCCCTGAGCCAATCCCCCCCCTCGAACGCTGCCCCCGATGAAGACGGCTGGGAGAGGTGCAATTTGGTACTTGCAGCATTTGTGTCTACAACAACTTGCAAGCAAAAATCCAAGAGAAGCAAAACCACATCTAGCCGCGTTGGCGTCTTTTACCCTGAGGATCGTGTTTATTGTATTTTTCTCTCGTGTGAAAGCAAACTGTTTGTTGTCGCGTGTACGAAGTAAGATCTTTGTAGAATCTCGTGTTTCGTTGGGTTTGTTGTAATGTAACCAGAACACTACTGATGACAGCGCCGGGGCCTTCCTCGGCATTGCTCGTGGGACCGTGCGTTGAAACAGCGGCGGTCGCCCACGCAAGCGCGCTACTTCCTACGATAGGTATTGGAATTCCGCCCATGTGTCCCGTTTCTGCTTTCATCTTTCATGCCCAATGATGTCGACGCGAATTCGGCCGGTTTCCCGTGAAGGTTTGGCGATCAAGCATAGACGCGAGTACGCAGTGCTCATCTAATCGTATACGTCTTCGTTCCTTGTTTTTATTGTCAGCTGTCATTACGTTACACACGTTTCCTCGTGTTCGGAATGCGCGTGTTGTTGCGGTTGTCGGTATGCTGTGCGCTGCATCGCGCGACAAAGAGCGTGCTGTGTCGCGCGCCGCGAATACGCGCATAGGTAAGTTGTTGTGTGTGTCTTGTTTTGTGTGTGCGTGTGCGTGTGCGTGTGCGGCCGTGGGCTTTTCCCCCCTCGCCCTCTTTTTCCTTCCTCCCCCTCGGCTTCGCCGCCGTCGTCGTCTTCTCGTTATTTCCCTCCTCTCGCTGGTGGGCTCCGTTGCGATGGAAAAAAAAAATGTGCGTGTGCGTGTGCGTGTGTACTCCCCGGTGTCTGAGCGTGCCGCCTGCTGAGCTGCGGGCTTGCGCCGTGCGTTCTGCACCGCGTGCCGTTCGGAGGGCACCGTGCGTCGCACGCGACACTCGACGTCGTCGTCGTCGTCGTCGTCTTGCCGTCAGCAGTATCATCAGCATCACCATCATCGTCATTATCACCATCATCATCAGCATCATCATCTTCTTCTTCCTCATCATCATCTCCATCATCATCTTCATCATCATCAGCATCATCCTAATTATCACGTGTCCCCTTCTTACCTCATCGGTCGGGCCGCGAGCTGCAGCAGCGACACACGCGGAAGGTCGCATATCGTTTGCCTTACCTTTATCGGTCCCCTTCCCTTCTTTCGCCTATACCTTGGTCAGAAGCAAAAATAAACGTGCGAGAAGGGCGCACGATAATGAAAATGTGGACAAAGCAGTCTACGGCAGAGGGAGGAGGGAAGAGCACGAGGAGGAGGACGAGGAGGCCTCGTGGTGATCATGCGTAGGTATGTGGCAAAGTTTTTCCTGGGGGGGGGGCTCGGGCAATATGGGGGCATTGGGGAAGCCAGCTCGACGTGGACGGTTCCTGGGGCTCTCCTGGGGCCCGTTGGGTGCTCATCGGCACGTTTTGGTGGCCTCTGGGACAGTCGGTGGCCCACCCTGGGCCGCTGCGGGAAGCCCAAGGCCGCGTGGAGGCCATCGCGGGCCCGCAACGACACCAAGAAGATCAGGGCTCACTCCTGGAACCCGCGGGGCGAAACTGGGGCCCCAGACATGGGAGGCGGGGGGGGGATGTTGTAAAACTGTGCCGCCCCCAGGCCCAAGGGTACCCGCCCCCGGGCCCAGGGTTACAGACCTACACCCACACATACACTTTTTAAGCCAGCGCCACTGGATCACCGACACGACGGCGTCACGCAGAAAATCGCAAAAGTGCCTGCAACTTCTGCCAACTGGCAAACTGGCGGGGTACAGCGCCGCGCTCGAAGTCCTGCGACGCACATTGGTAGGGTGCTGACCTACGGACCCACAACACAAGAGGCCTCACACAACCCCTAAATCAAGAAAGCAATACAAAATGGTGGAATCGGGACACGCAACACACGCGGAATAATGTACATTCGAGGCCGAAGCCAACCTGAAAGAAGCTATGCCGTAAAATCCTGGGGCCACCCACGCCACCAAAGGAGGCCAGTGTGAAAGACACGTCCAGGCTGGCCCAGGAGGCTGCAAAAGTGCCGACCGAATTGATTGGTGAGGTACCGATGCAGCAGTAGACTCACTGCCGACCGTAAATCGAGCGGCACGGGTAATAGCGCGAGGTACACTGCACGCACCGACGTCTCGGTCGCCACCCGCTCGACCAAGGACGCCCCGTAGAGCGGGAAGAACGGGAGAAACGAGGAGGAGGCAGATATTGGGGGTACCGTCTGGACGCGACCGCCAGGCGCGCGCGGAAGAATCTCAACCCCCCGCGGCGGCGGAGTCGACCCGAAATCGACGAACCACCGCGGAGGGGAGAACGGCCGGGGGTGGCGGGAACGCCGCGCCACTTCCGACGGCAAACAGAGCACGGTAGACCAAACATCCTACTAGGCCACACCCGTCAATAACATAACTGGGGAGGGGAGAATCGGCAAGCGGGTGAATATATATATATATATATATATATACATTAATATATTATATATATATATATATATATATATATATATATATATATACATATATTATATATATATAGATCCACACGTACACGCATACATACGTATACTTATACACATAATTACACTTATACGTATACATATACATATACATATACATATACATGTACATACACATATACATATGCATATACATATGCATATACACATACATATTCACATACATATACATATACATATACATATACGTATACATATACATATACATATACATATACATATACATATACATATACATATACAAATACACATACATATACAAATACAAATACAAATACAAATACAAATACAAATACCAATACATATATATATATATATATATACATATAATATACATATACATATGTATACATATACATATGCATAAACGTACTCATAGACATATACATATGCATATAAATATACATATATACTATATATATTATATATATATATATATAACACATTACACATCTACATCTACATATACATATACATATGCATATACATATACATATACCTATACATATACATATACATACCCATACCCATATATATACATATACCTACACATCTACATCTACATATACATATACATATACCTATACATATAAATATACATATACCTATACATATACATATACATATACAGATATATATGCAGATACATATACATATGCATATACATCTACATATACATATACATATACCCATACATATACATATATACATATACATGTATCTATACATATACATATACGTATACATATACATGGGTGAGTGAGTTTGTGAACGATGATTTTCAGATAGGTTAGCGAAGGGGCCATCGGGTGGGATATGTCTTGTTGTTTCGGACGTTGTCTCCAGGTCTTGCCTGCGCCCGAAACCGTTTCAAGTTCAAGGCACCATGACTCACTGATCAGAGTTTCGAGGTGCCTCCGCGGGCACCCTCTTGCACGTCTCTTCGCGGCACCCGAGGGGTGCCGCTGTGTTCCACCAGACGTGCCCGCCACGACGCTGGGGGGCGAATCGGCTGCGGCGGCCGCGCCGCCCGGGCTGGACGCCGCCCCAGGAGGCGAACCGCCGCCGCCCGCCCCAGAGGGCCCCGCCGCCGACGCGAGCCTGGGCAGCTGGTGGCTCGCGGCGGCGTGGGGACTTCTAGCCCTGGCGGGCGGAGGAGGAGCCCTTGCCGCCCAGCTGGGCTCGACGGGGCGGGCCCGCCTCGCGGGCCTCACCGTCTGCGGGCTGGTGGGCCTCCTCGCCACGGCGCGGGTCGCGCGCCAGGCTTGGTGGCTCTACTGTGACCAGGAGGCGACGAAGGCGCAGATGGCCTCCCTCAGAGCCCAGATGCAGCAGCTGGCCCTGTCGGGAGCGATGGGCATGCCAGGTGGAGGTTTCCCTGGCGGCGGTCCGCCCGACGGTGCCATGCACGGGTGGGCCGACGTGGGAGCGCCGCCGCCGGGGATCCCGCAGGTGCCGGGCGTGACGATGGCGGGGCCAGCCACAGGACCCGTCGGGCCCCCAGTGGGTCAGGCCACCCAGGCGCCCGCGGGTGCCGCGAGCCTGGACGCGCTGGGCGCGCGGGCGGGCATAGCCGCCCTGGCCGCCCCAGAGGCGGGCGCCACAGCCGCTGCGGGTAGCCCGCCATACGTCCCTCAGTACAGGCCGCCCGAGCTGGACAGCAAGGTCCGGCAGCAGGCCAAGCAGGTGAAGGAGCTCCTGACGGCGTTCGCGAACGCCCGGGGCCAAGACTACATGTGGGGTCGTCGCTTCTGGTCCAACATCTACACGATGGACTCGAGCGGGCAGTTGGTGCCCGAGGCGAAGCGTCTCCTGACGGGGTTCGGCTACGTAGGCGAGCAGACGGTGACGGCCCCCCGCCATGAGGAGCTCGGGGCCGCGCTGGACCGCCTCGCGTCGGAGGCCGCGCTGACCGCTGGCGCAGGCATCTGGCAGTCCACCCCCAGCCAGGGCCTGGCCGCCGCGGCGGGAGGCTCGGAGGAGACGCGATGGGGCTCCTCGCTACCAGCGGACCTCCAGCGTGCGGCCCCCGAGATCTACAGGGCGATGCGAAGTGAGGGGTCGACGAGTGCACGTGACTGGATCGCCCAGCGCTACCAGGGGAGTCGGACCAGCCCGGTGTGGGTCGACCTATGGACTCTTGCCACGTCGGTTGACTTCCGCCTCCGCGAATGCGGCAGCCATCTGGAGATCATGCGGGTGCTGGCCAAGGACGACATGATGGAGATCGGCCTCCGCCGCCTCGCGGCATACGTGTACGAGCAGCGGAGCGGCGACCGCGTCGGAGCCCAGCCCATGTTGGGCATCGCGCCGCCTGGCGGCTCGGCCGACGTGGCCCCGACGTGGACGGCGGCCTCAGCGACGATGCACTCGAAGATCGAGCACCAGCGCAGGGAGAGAGTCGAGGCTGAGGCTCGCCACAGGCGCAAGAACGACAAGGGCGGCGGTCGAGGCGACGGTCGCGGAGGTGGCCGAGGTGGAGGCCGTGGCGGCAAGTCCGTCGACTCCAAGCATGAGTAGGGGCTCGCGGCGCGCCCCGACGAGCCTGCCGTCGGGGCGCGGAGCCCCCCCGCGATGTGGGCGCCTAGAGTGCGCGACGATCTACACCCCCCGCTGCAGCAGGTGATCTCGGCTCAGCCGGGACAAGAGGCGTTCTTTCCCATCACGCTGGTGGATCGCCCGACCCAGATGACGAGCCGCTCTAGTCGACTTCGGCATCGATTCAAGCGGAAGCTCACCCTGTGGGCTCTCGCCAACGAGTTCGTGCAGGGGATCAACTCCATGGACACGGGCTCGTGCAAGGACCTCACCCGCCCCCGCCGCAAGGAGAGCTTGTCGGAGAACATGCGGGGGCTGCACGGCCAGGTGCATAGGGTAGCTCTACGAGACGCTAAACGGCTGGCAGAGGCGCGCCGGGACTGCGGTCTGGCAGGCGCCCCCGCGGTGCTGGAGCTAGCTCGCGCGGAGGAGGTGGGCTATGGCAAGCCTACCCGCCTGTCGACCCATGAGGCCCTGAGAGCGGAGGACATTGATGAGCCGCAAGTAGTGAAGAGCGCGAACATGCTCGAGGCGCTCGAGCCGGAGGAGGCCAGGTACTACAGCGACGAGGGGCTTGTGGTCGCCCCGACGGAGTTGCGCAGCCGCGTGATCTTCGAGGAGCTGCAGGCCAAGTTCGGCTTCGCTGGAGGAACTCAGGAGGAGTACGAGAAGTATTTCAGCCGCTCAGACATGCCGCCAAACCTGTGGCTCTTCGGGGGCCCGCAGGAGGTGAAGGCCATAGCGGGCTTCAGCACGGTGGGCAAGAAGACCAGCGGGCGGCGGCGTAAGATCATCCTGATGGCGGCGGCAAACTATATGTTTCAGGACGCGAGGGGTCGAGCCGAACACGGACTACACGGAGGAGGTGCGTTGGCCAGCCTGCACGTCCCGTCGGACGACTGGGCGGCCGCGGCGTTCGACGAGAGCAACGCCTTCTCCTCCGTCGAGGTTCCGAGCTGGATGTAGGGCTGGCAGTGCGTGCCGCCCGTGAGGGCGTCCGCCGTCTGGTGGCGTCTGTCGCCCAGCCAGCAAAACTCTTTGAATCCTGAGAGCTGGGTCTACCCGATGTGGCGCCGTTTAGTCATGGGCAGCTCCCACAGCGTGCACATCCTGATGTCTATCAATGCGAGGATATGCTCCATGACGCTGAGGCGCAGCCTGGTGGACCCGCAGCATGGTCACACTCTGGCGTGGCAGGCCGGATACCAGATGCTGACGGACGACGACTGGGCCGAGCGCCAACGACTTCGACGAGATGGCACCCCCCCGAGCGGGTTTTCCGTGGCGAGCTGGTGCGAGGCAGTACGCCACGCACGGCGCCAGGAGACCCGTGTCTTCGTGGTCATGCACTTGTTCGCGGGGGCCCGGAGGGAGCAGGACGCGCAGCATCACGTCGAGGCGATGATGGCCGACCTGGAGCTGAAGGTGCTCATGATCTCGGTGGACCTGGCCGAGGACTCGCGGTGGGACCTCGGGCGCGTCGACACCTGCGTGTCCGAGGGCCTGGTGGACGTGATCCCGGGCGACCCCCCCTGCTCGACCTGGAGCCGCGCGAGGTTCAGGCCTGGAGGCCCACGACCCTTGCGCCGCCGAAGGAAGTACGCATGGGGGCTACCCCGTGAGAGACTACGGCCTTCCGAGGTGGAGCGGCTGGACGAGGGCAACCGCCTGATGGTCAACCACCTGGCGCTGCGCGGCGGGGTGGGGGACCGCGGGGGAGCTCGGGCACTCGAGCATCCAGACGATCCTGCCTGGGGAGGAACCGTATCCGTCCATCTTCGACACCGAGATTTTGAAGGGCCTGGAGTCCAGGACGGGAGCGCGGCACATCTCTTTTGACCAATGTATGATGGGCGGGCCCTCGCAGAAGCCCACGAGGGTCACAGGTACGGCACGACTGGCGGCCACCGAAGCACTACGGTGCGACGGCGCCCACACACACGAGCTGAGCCACGGCAAGGTTAACGGGAACTTTCGGACGACCAAGCTCGCCACCTACCCACCTCGACTGTGCAGGTGGATAGCAGAGGGCATCGTGGCCACCCTGTCGGAGATGGCGCAGACCGGCGGCGGGCCAAGAGGACACGCACGAGACGGAGTGAAGTGTCAGAGGATCACGTGCTATTCAGGGCCCCTGGACCTCGGCGCCTTTCATTTTTTGAACGAGACGTCCTCGCGAGGCCGCGGGCAGTGCCGGGCGCGAGGGACACGAGCTTCTACCTCCATATCGACGACGGCCTGATCGCAGCGGACGGCGGGTCCCAGCAGTCAGGCGAGAAGAAGGTCAACAAGCTGGTCCACCAGGTGGCAGACGCGCTGGAGGATGTGGGCTTCGTCGCGAAGGAGGGGGGGGAGCACGGCATGGTGGATCGCATCGTGGGCTACGAGGTGGAGTCTAGCCCCGCACGAGTGCGGGTCCCGAAACGCAAGGCGGCGCTCATGCACGAGGCGCCGCTACTGCTCACGAGCCGGGACTGGGTGCACCTGGACCACCTGGCGTCGGTCATCGGGGTCTGGATCTGGGCGGCGCTGCTGGCCAGGCACTGGCTGTCGGCGCCTCAGCACCTGTTTCAGTTCGCACGCCGGGAGGGCCCGCGCCGGAGACGGCGGTGGCCGTCGGCCCGCCGCGAGGCCGCGGCCATGCGGCGGGGCATCATGGGGCTCTACGCTGACCTGGGGGCCCCGCTGCTGCCGATGGTCTTCGCCTCGGACGCCGAGGGCGCGCAGGACTTCGACGCGGGTGGCTACGGCATCGTCGTGGCCGCGGCGAACTCGAAGATCGTAGAAGAGCTGAGGAACGCTGGCACTCGCCCCGGCGTGGCCGTCGCCAAGCCGGGACAACTGCAGAAGGTGCTGGAGCGTGGCCCTGAGACGCTACAGCCTTTCCTGCCAGTGAGCTCAGTTGAGAGGGGTTGGATCGACGGAGAGGCCTCCTGGATCCCGGTCGAGTCAGGCCGCTGGAAGGCGCCTGACCACATCGTGCTGGGGGAAAGGCGGGCCGCGCTGAAGGTCCTGTCGCGTCTGGCGCTCCTGCCAGAGGCTCACCGCTCGAAGGTCCTCAGCCTCGAGGACAACATGGCTGTCGCGGGCGCTGCGGCCAAAGGCCGATCGGCCGCCGGCCCCGCGAACTACTTACTCAGGCGGAGGTGCGCGTTGTCGAGCGCCACGGAGATCAGGATGCACCTCCCCTGGGTGGAGACCGAGAGGATGCCCGCGGATGGCCTCTCACGCATGAGAGGATGTGGCCAAGATTCAGAGGGGCACAACGCCCCGGTGCCGAGAGTGGACGCGCGCAGCGTGCGCATCATCCAGAACTGACTTTTTCGAGCCCGAGGGTGCCAGACGACAAGCACCTGGAGGGCCGTGTACAGCCTGAGACATTGCTAACCTATCGCAAGCAAGCAGCGGAAATTTACCAGTGGTGCGTGGCCGAGGGGGCCCACCCCTGGAGCCCTGACGAGTGGGACGACACGATCATGGAGTACAAGGCCTCAGTGGACTTGCTCAAGAGTCATTTCACCTCCCTGCTCGCCGCTATCGAATTCAAGTTTCCGCGGCTGAAGGGCCGCCTTTGCAGATGCCACGCCGCCTTGCGTGGCTGGGAGTTAGAGCACCAGACCAAGCACACAGTGCCGATGGTGAGCACCGCCCAGGCTTTCGTCAGTGTGCGGCTCAGCGCACTCGGAGAGCCTCGCCTGGCCATCGGCCTCATGTTGCAGGGAAAAGTGGGGATGCGGCCCAGCGAGATGCTGGGTATCGTCACGTCCGATCTCGTCTTCCCCGAGGAGTCTGGGTACGGTCGAGGTCGAGGGCCCCTGATAGTAGGCTTGGGTATCAAGGCGAACACCAAAGCGAAGCGCCCCCAGTCGAACGACATCCTGGAGGCCTCCAGCCCTGTATTGGTGGATCTCCTGAGGACCCTGAAGGCCCACACGCCCCCAGGGGGCCGCATGTTCCCCTACACCCTCGAGAAGTACCGCAAGTTGCTCGCTCGCATCCAGTCGGAGTGTAACCTACCAATGGGATGGACCCCCCACAGTGCCCGAGCAGGTTTCGCTTCAGAGGCCACAGCGTGGGGTATGTCCTTCGAGTCGAGCAAATTCGAGAAACAGGCCGTTGGAAGGTGGACAGTTCCCTTCGAGTATATATCGACATGGCCCAGGCCGCCCACATAGCCGTGGGGCTCAAGTCGGCTGGGTGGGGTCCAGCCTTCGATTGGGCCGGCCAACACTGGGCCTGGTGTGCGCTACGGGCGTTGCATGGCGCCGAAGGGCTCCAGACGCCTGGTTGACGGGTCATGGGCGACACCAGAGACGCTACCGACAGCCAGATCGAGTACGCCACCGCCATCACCTTTCTCTTCCGGGAACTCGTCCTGGGTACTACCGAGCTACCCACCTACGCCAACCAGTTTAGTTTCACCTCTTGGGCTGACGCCGACACCAACGCCGACGGGTATGGCGACACCGCCGATGACCAAGGCGGCGCCTGGAGTGCCGACCTCCTGGGCGACCCCCAGGCCGCAGCCGACCCGCCGACGAGTTTCCTCAGTGTGGTACCTGTGGAAGTTGGCTAAGATGTCTTCCAGCTGCAGCGGGAGCTGCAGCTGTGCTGTGCTCATCATGGCGGTGCTACTGACTACAGCGTGGAGCCCCTTGTTCGCACGCTCTATGAGCATCGCCTCGGACGTGGCCGAGGAGGTCGGAGGGGCGGCAGGCCGCATGATGGGCGCAGGTGCGAACGTGTCGTCGAGTGCGGCACGGATCTTCAGCGCCCTCACCGACAACACCCTCAGCCTCGCCGAGACCGCATGGGAAAGCATCGACCTCACGAATGGTACGGTCAACAGTTCCGCCGGCCGCATCTTTTTCGATGGAAACGAGTACGCCGAGGACGTACTGACTACGCCAGAGGCTCGAGCGGTGATGGGACTGCCCGACCACTGGCTCCAGGCGTTGGCGGATATTTTGATTGTTGCATCACCTTCTCGTCCGCTGTGGAAGTACACAAGCATCTCTTCATCAGCGACTCATCCTATACCTCCCTGGACCTCTGGATGGCCTGGTTCGATACGGGCCATGTGGGCTTGGCCTGGAGGACTGCAGCTGTTACCTACAACGTACGCTGGGCCAATCCCTTATGGTCGCTGACCGAGGACGCTACCACTCAGACGATTCGGATCTCAGAGCTGCTGCAAGAAGCTATCCAGGCGACTATCGACAAGCCAGATCTCACTCTGTCCAAGTCAGCCAGCCCTACTGCACGCTCCAGCCATCACACCACCCTCAGTGCCGATGAGGATCTGGAGGTGGAGCAAGCGCCTAGCCGCCTGGGCTTGGCCGCGAGACGGGAACGGGGCCTTTCGCTCGTCATCGGCGCCTGGCGCCGAGGACGAGTCCTTCACCGCCGACGGGACCGCCGCCGACGAGGGCTCCCCGGACACAAAGACGGGCGAGGGCGACAGCCACAGCGTGCCTGCCGAGCCCTCAGCATAGGCCGCAAGCGAGTACGGGGTTGGTGGAGCGAGGACCTAGCGAAGATCAAGGTCGACCGAGTTTCTTTCTTTCAACGCAGGCTATCATCAATCAGATGTCACGTTCATTGCAGTCTGCCGGGGAGGTGTGCGCTGACCGCACACAGATATGAATATTTCTCAGCAGTGAATGATAACAAGTTATCTCTCGAGGTCCGTGCAGGAAAACGTTGAGTGAGTTTCGTATTCAGTAGCGCCACGCGCTGGCACGTCCCGGCCTCTAGGGCCCAAGTGCCCAGAGCCTCTAGGGTGTGGCGTCTAGGGCTGTAGGCTAAGGCTCTCTTAGGTCCTCTTAAGGTTCCCTTGGGTGGGGCCCCGTTCTTTGGGATCGCACCTGAAATGGGTGAGTGAGTTTGTGAACGTTGATTTTCAGATAGGTTAGCGAAGGGGCCATAGGGTGGGATATGTCTTGTTGTTTCGGACGTTGTCTCCAGGTCTTGCCTGCGCCCGAAACCGTTTCAAGTTCAAGGCACCCTCCCAGCCCTCGGTCCTCGGTACAGGTCTCACTTGCTGCCCGTTCGTTCTGCCGTCCCCCCGAGCCGTGGTCAGCACCACGCAGCGGGGTTCCTACCGTTTCCCTTCAGGCATCCCTCCCCCTCGCTCGGACCTAGCGAAGATCAAGGTCGACCGAGTTCTTTTCTTTCAACGCAGGCTATCATCAATCAGATTTCACGTTCATTGCAGTCTGCCAAGGGAGGTGTGCGCTGACCGCACACAGATGTGAATATCTCTCAGCAGTGAATGATAACAAGTTATCTCTCGAGGTCCGTGCAGGAAAACGTTGAGTGAGTTTCGTATTCAGTAGCGCCACGCGCTGGCACGTCCCGGCCTCTAGGGCCCAAGTGCCCAGAGCCTCTAGGGTGTGGCGTCTAGGGCTGTAGGCTAAGGCTCTCTTAGGTCCTCTTAAGGTTCCCTTGGGTGGGGCCCCGTTCTTTGGGATCGCACCTGAAATATACATATACATATACATATACATATACACATACATATACATATACATATACATACAGAAATACATATACACTTGCATATACACACATATATACATACATACATACATACATACATACATACATACATACAGACGGGCAGGCAGGCAGGCAGGCAGGCAGACAGTCAGACAGACACATATACACATATACCTATGTATACATGTGTGTAGACACCTATATACCGAAATGCTTCCATACATATTAATATATACATATATACGTGTACACACATTTATGATGCATTATATGTATATAGTCAGCGACCGCAAACAAAGGCGCGAACGCGCGTGCCGAACAAAACACGCCAACGCAGCTGAAAGCCCCCGCGGTGGGGACGACCCGGAAGAGGGGGAAAGGGGGAAAACAGCAAGCACGAGCAGAGGTAGGAGGGGGGCCCGGAGAAGCAACGGCAAAAGACCCCACGACGCGGCCGAGCCCACGACCGACGACGGCGGCGACCGAACGAGCCTCACGACCCACGACGAAAATGGAAGCGCCGCCGAAGTTGGCGGGCTCGCCGCACCACCACCGACAGATAACAGAACGCCACAGGACCGAAAGCTGGAAGTAGTGGAAGCAAGGGTGGGTCAGGACAAGGAGGGAGGAGTTCGAAGAGGAGACACAGAGAAAGAGGCGCAACACGCTGGCCGCGATCGCCAAGTATGCACGCAACGAAGGATGAACCCCTCGCGGTGGGGACGACCCGGAAGGAAGGGGAGGAGGGGACCGATGACCCACCGCAGAAGGGAACGCCGTCGGTGGTGGCGCGGAAACAACGGTGGATAAGGAGAAGAGAAAAGTATGTACTGCGAGAGTTGGTCTGGTGCGCGCGCACCTGGCGCCCTTCCCATTACTGCGAAACTTGATTTGGTGCCGCGCACACCCGGGTGACAAGTACCGCCATCCACTGAATATTCCTGCTCACAGCACCAATGTCCCTTCTCACCTGCCATCATAGTACTGCATGAAGCTGATCATGTGTTGCGGCATCGCCCCGTTTTCCCCCAGTGTGGCAAGGATACACGTGAAACGTAAGGTAACACCGCAACAGATGCTGTCCGGAAAGACGCGCACACACACACACACACACACGGTTTAGTACTTGATAGTCGCGGACTCGCGCGCGGCGACGAGACGAAGCAAGCACGCACGCACGCACGCACACACGCACGCACACACGCACACACGCACACACACACACACACACACACACACACACACACACACACGCGCGCGCGCGCACACACACAGTTTGTAAATTGGCGGCGCAGAAGAAACCTAGGCGCGGTCGGCAGATGGAGGTGCCAATTGCGAACGAACTTCGTCGAACGTGCTGTATTGGAAAAATCCAGCCACGGCCATGCAAATTGGTGGCGGTGGTGAGAAACATGAGGCATTGCACAGCCAAAATGCAGCGGCCAATGATCCCGCGTAGCGTGGCTCGACGCCAGGAGCTGACGCGCAGGCAACAGTCTGGTGCTGACTAGCCAGCTGGGCGAAGAAAAACTGACACGCACACACACACACACACACACACACACACACACACACACACACACACACACACACACACACACACACACACACACACACACACACACACACACACACACACACACACACACACACACACACGCACCCACACGCACACACACACACACACACACACACACACACACACACACACACAAACACACACACACACGTAATTGCACATTTTCGCGGTCGCGGCTTCGCACGCAGCGTCGGGGCGGAGACAGTCACCGAACGTGCGACGGCGCGCGCGGCGGGCCGCTCAGAGCGTGCAGGGATCCATATTGGATCAACCATGCCATACGCATAGCCAGGCGTGGGCAGCGAGGGTGCAGAGGGTGAAGGGCAAAGCCTGGGCGAAGTAGAGGCACGGTACGACGAGCGACGAGAGGCGGCAAGGACGGTCGAGGCCAGGATGGCAGCAAACAGGTGGCAGGCGAGAAGGCCAGCCAGTGCGAGGCAGTGCGAGCAAGTGTGGGTGGCCATGGGCACAAGACACACACACACACACACATTTGCGTCGGCTAGGCAGAGAGACTGCGCTAGTGGATAGGGCGTCCGAAGGGCATACGCAATGCGAATTAAGCCACGATGCACGAGGAGGAAAGACAAACACACACACACACACACACACACACACAAACGCACACTTTCTGGTGTCGCGGCCACGCGTGCAGCAACCCAGCGGCTTCGGACTAGCGGCCGAAAGCGACGAACCGCATTGTTACGTTACCTCCTCAAGCTTGGGAGCGAATACGCGCGTAAACGCAACAAATTAGTGAATCGAGCAAGTATGCATATTCATCCTGCCGTGCGCAAGATAGGTGTTTGCTCGCAAGACGCATCGAACCTCGCAAGTGTCTGATGTTTACATCTGCGTGGGCTCCTGAGCCCACAGTTACTTGAGGGAATGTTATTCTGAACTTGCGTTCTCATGGTCTCCTGTGCGTGAGGGAAGGAGGTCCCCAATCGCGACTCTTGTTTCTGGAAACGGGGCAGACACGACAAGCACTTCTTTCGGATGAATCCACACACGAATCCCAAACCAGCATTCTCGTGTGGGAGATCTTCGCAAAATCGGCTCTCCGATGCCCTGACGAAGCTCCCGAACGAAGTGCGGGATGGAGGGGAAAGTGCAGGGGCCCTAGGACAAACAAATAAATAGGCACAAATAACAGGAGTCCCCATATTTTCCAATATTTCCTGAGTTTTTGTCTTCCCCCCCACTTCCCATAGTTTCCATATTTTCTGGAGAATCTGCAATTAATTGTGTTTGTGTTTTTTTCCCTCCTGGGAAAGGGCCGGGGAGCGGGGAAGGGGGGACCGAGCGACGACATGGGTGGGGGGGCTGGGAGGGACAGGGGCACAAAACACCTCACAACAGAACTGCGGGTCAAGCGCAAGGCGGCGGATTGGTAATCCGAAGGACGGAAGCCCGACACACACGCACACACACACACACACACACAACCCGAGAGAATACATCACAAACTGGCATCCATCAGCACGCGCCTACTCTCTTGCCTTCGGTTGATTTTCCCGGTCGGCCTGACAGCAGCGGCAGCCGAGCGTAGCCCTGCTCCTCAGCGTACGCTAGCCACAGCGCCAGGTGAGGCCCTCCCCAGCCAGCAGCCATGTCGCCAGCCTGATTGGGAGATTCCACACTGGCCTCCCCTACCTCCGACCCCTCCCCCCCCTGGCCCACCCGCTTTCCTCTTCATCTTCTGAAGCTCTCGCATCCCTTCCTTCCTCCTCCCGCTCTGCCCTCCAACCCCTTTCACAAGCCCCTGGCTGAGGCCAGCCATCCTGGGTTCTGACCGTGGTGCCAGATCTGAACGGGGTACCAGAGCCGAGAGGGGTTGAGTCGCCCTGACCCCCTGCCCCCGAGCCTCCCGCGTGAAGTCCACGAGCTCCTCGGGCACCTCATGGCGCCGCAGAGTAACATTCGCAAGATTTGCCAACGGAATCAACAATCCCTCCCTAGCCCGCGCCGCGAGCGAACTCGGTGCCCCTGCGGTGCAAGAAGACAGTGGCACCTGTCGATATTCTTCAGTGACATCATCCCTTTCCTCCAACTCCTCCTCCTCCTCCTCCTCCTCCTCCTCCTCCTCCTCCTCCTCCTCCTCCTCCTCCATCTCCTCTTCCTCCTCATCCTCCTTCTCCTCCTCCTCCTCCTCCTCCTTCTCCTCCTCCACCACCTCGTCCTCCTCCTCCTCCTCCTCCTCCCTCCTCCTCCTCCTCATCCTCCTCCTCCTCCTCCCTCTCCTCCTCCTCCTTCTCCTCCTCCACCTCCTCGTCCTCCTTATCCCTGTCGCACCCCGAGGCCAGTTTTTAGGGCGGGCCGGGCGTTTCGCCTGAGACTTCCTCACCACTTATGACTCTGAAATTCAAAAACTGACGACAGTTTCACAGATGAAGGGCGGGTGGTTTTCAAGATGTGGCTCTCGCCTCAGCGCCGCGCACATTCGTTTAAAAATCGCAGGAGCTTCACGGATTGACGGCAACTCGTTTTCAAAATGTGGCTCTCGCCTTAGCGCCGCACACCTTCGTCTTGAAAATTACAAGAACTTCACGGATTGAGGGCGGTTCCTTTTCAAATAGTGGCTGTCCCCTTAGCGCCGCGCAGGCTCGTCTCAAAACATACAAGAGTGTCAGGGGTTCCCATGATCAACGTACCAGAAACGGCGCTTTGGAATGATTCAGGATTATGAGGGCGCAACCGTTACGTTGATTCGCTGTGCTGAAGTCTCAGGAATGGTGTTCTGGCACGGTTCAAGATCGTCAAGACGCAACAGTCAGGTTGATCCGTGGCGTTGGAATCCCGAGAACATTGCTTTGGTATGCTTCAAGGTCCTCAGACGGTTGTCTTCCAACGCGACAGTTCCCTGAGTGGAAATGAACCACTGTATGGGGCCTACTAAGAGGGAGATTGGAGGGAGGGTTTATTCCAACATCGTTGATGATTCTTGGGTTTCCAGTGGTCCTCCTCCTCCTCCTCCTCCTCCTCCTCCTCCTCCTCCTCCTCCTCGTCTTCGCCGCACCCCACACCCTCTCCCCACGCTGGCTGGGCTCGGCGCTGGGAGCGCGTGCAGGCTGCGGATGGCGGACGTGACGGCCGCCAGGAGGGCGCTGCCGGGGCCCTCCGAGGCCGCGCTGCGCAGGGCGTCCTTCTGGAGGGGAGTGATGGGGGCGGGACTGGCTCGGCCCAGACATCTGATGTGCTGCAAAAGTCAAGACCGACGTCTCTCCCCGTTTTTGCCCTCTGGGGGCCCTCGCCGAGCCCTGGGACTCTCGAAAAAGCGACTCGGGAGGAGAAGCCGGCCCTGGTGAGGGAGTCGGGACTTCATGGGGACCTCAGATGCAATCGGAACATGCGTCGGATCGGGCCGCATTGGCACGGAGCCGGAATCGGACGGGATCTTCTGCGCCAGGATGCACAGCGGCGCCATGCGAACATCGGGCATCATCGAATCGTCGGAATGTCGGAATCGAACCAGATCGAAATGGCTGGAGCCGACATCGATTCGGAACGAAGTGGACCCTGCCTGAAATTATTTGCAGGCCCTTCCATTGGAAAACTGCACGCGCCAGGAGACCCACGAAACCCTCGCCTGTCGCAAGCTTATGCAGAGCGGCAGGTGGCCAGGATGGTACACTGGTTGCGCAAAACTGGTGGCCCGATCATCGTGCGGGGGCCCCTCGTTGGGCATCGTTTCGGACTTTATCTGCGCACCGGATGCTGACCTTTGTCACCATGTGCGCACAAGGAGCAGCAAGGCGCGACTCCAGCTTGCGCATTGGCGCCGCCGCGCACACACGCCGACACCGAGACGTCCAGTTCCAAGACATCGTCAGTGAGCGAGGTGGTCAGCAGCATGCTTTAGTGGTTCAGCTGCAGCTGGAGAAACCACGGTCGCTGCGCTCAAAATATTGGTCCGATCCCCCCTCTTTCAGCGGTAGCGTCACCTCTTTCGACAGGATGGCGAAAAAACAGCGAGGGCGATAAAGTGGCCCCGCACTCTGCTCTTGACGAAGAGTACGCGCATGTGCGATGGCAACAGATCTGATGATACCCGATGGAATGCAACGCGGCCCCGTAGGGCTCGTGGATGTCAATGTGGACAGGCGTGGTATGCCGCCCGTCCGCCAAAGTCCTCCGTCAGAGCACGGCCGTTCGCCACGAACTCCGAAACCAGGATGTCCTGCGCAGCACAAGCATCGGCGGCTCGCTCGAACGCTACGTGTGAGGCCTGCATAACTATCCCAAACGCGGGCCAACACGTAGCAAACAGAAGCAATGGCTACCCACTGGTTCACACACAAGTCTCCTAAATGCATGGCCGAAAAGAACCTAGAAGCCCAGGGAGACTTCCCATAAGCTAGTGGATACGGATTGAAAGCCTTTTCGGGACTGTTTGAAGCCACTGAAGCCTATGGAGACTCCCTAGGCGTCCTCAGAAACTGCTTGGAACGATCGAAATCCGTGGCCTGCCCTCCCCACCGCAAGAGCGAGCAAACAGTGACTCGCCACAACGCGTGCTCGATGACAAGACGTTCATCCCCTCCCCATTGCCAGACGTCCACCGTCATGACAAGATGCGAAGCCTGGTCCCGACGCCGGTAATGAAACGGGGGTACCGAAACTCAAAATGATATGGATGGTATGGATCAGGGGTAGGGAGAGGGAGGGAAAGGGAAGGATTCATGGCGCTGAATTTGCGATTTACGACGGAAGGAGCTCGCGTTAATGATAGTGGTGAAACGTATTCATAACCGAGGTGGGAACGAGACAGACTACAATTTGCTGCTCATGATGGCTGTATGGACCATTGTAGTTGTGGTGGATGCTACAATGGGGATCGGGGAAAGCACGACGGAGAGGCCGTGCAAGAGGGCGAACGTTACAGAGATAGAGGAGAGTCACTACACGGTATGTGATGGTGCAGGGGTATGTGACGTACAAGAGGAGGTACTCACAGCCAAGGTTAGTGCAGTGGGGTGAGCATGACTAGCGTGCGCGGTGAACGAAGTGATAACCTGTTCGAAGAAGCTCAAGAATAGATGAGTGCAGAGTAGTCGGATCAACCACGGTGAAAGCACTCTGCTGAAGATAATAGATAACGTTCGATGGTACTGCGTAAACGAGGTCGACCCAGGCTGCTTTGCGCATTTAAGGCTGTCATGCGGACGAGCATGGCACCATCAGCCCGAGGAGGGCTGTGAGTGCTTGCGCGCATGCAACGCGCATTCGTACCGTACTGTTGCTTTCTGGTTCAACGTAAAGCATGGGTCTCGCCATCCTCTGACTTTGATTCTCTTCTACAACATGAGGAAGGAGGGAGGGGGAGCACGAACAGGCGGAGAAAGAGGTCAAGAGGGAGGGGTAAGGAAGGCAACGCCCATGAGCTCGGAAACCCTACACGAGCGCGGCTCGTCTCGGAGCGAATCGGGAGAACTGTCGCTGCGGCAAGCAAGTGGTGGAGAAGCGGCAGCGGCGGCAGCGGAAGGAAGAGGGGAGGAGGGATTCGCTCCCCTCACTTCTGTCGCCATTCCGACACTCCCGAAGGAAGCCCGGCATTGGGGGGGGGGGGCACTCGCTCTCTCGCCCTCTGCTGCTCCAAGATAGCCTTAGGTCGGGCGTGTCCCCCCTGCAGGCGAATTCTGGGCTAAAGCTAAAACATACCCCAAAGTGCCCCCCGAATGCTCAAAAAATGATCCAAAAATAGTCCCCGGACTATTTCTTGACTACTTCTGGAACTCCCCCTGTAGAGGGACAGGTCCGACGTAAGGGCGGGGGGCACTCGCTCTCTCGCCCTCTGCTGCTCCAAGGTACGGTACATCGACAAAATGTTGCACCACCTGGCGCTGACAATAAATCGCATCGCTGTTATATCAATCGTTTGTTCCCCCCCTCCACCCCGATCTTAATATCGGGTTCGGACCCGGGCTGGTCGAAACAGCTCGGTGGTGCAACATCTTGTCGGGAGCCCCCGGGCGGAACAGGAGCTCTCCGCCATGCACCCAGTATTAAGATCGGGTGGAAAAGGGGGGTCAAGAGCAATGCAGTACAGGTGCCAATGCAAAGCAAACGTGGTGCAACATTTTGTCGACGTACGGTAGCCCAGCGGGCCGGGGCACGCCGGCCGGCCACCTCACCAGGTCTGGCCTGGAGCCACCGGGGGGGCTCGGGGAGGGCTCGCCTGCGCCCTCCTGGCCTGGCCAGGGAAGCATCGACCCTCAAATGTCGGGCCTGTCCCCTCCTCCGGGGGGAGCTTGGACGAAAAACAAAAAAAACAAAAAAACCCGAAAAATGCTCCAAAAGGGTCAAAAAATGCTGACAGAATCGTCCCCAGACTATTTTTGTTTGCCTATGTTTGGATATCCCTCCTGTAGAGGGACATGCCCGATTTAAATCTACCCTGAGATCCGACGCCGCGAAGACCAGAACCCTAGAGCCAACCCTTCTGCCACATTTATCGAGGCCAGGTCGATGCGCGAGGGCCCCAGGGACGAAACCGCCCCAAAAGCGCCCACACATGCACGCAATAGGCCGCGCATAGACGGCGCACCGGCAAGAAACCACTTGAAATGAAAGCCAAGAAAATGACGAAAAGAGACAAGAACGAAAGCGCGCTGGTGCACGGACACTGCACGCAGACCAATGCTGAGCGGCGGGCGACAGCACACTCTCGAGGAAAACATGCAGGGGGAGAGTGGGAGAGAGGGGCGGGGAGGGGAGGGGGACAGGCGACGGCGGGCTCATCAGGAACACGAGTCAAATTGCGCCTTGATCGGGAAACAGCACGCTGCCCCAGCTCCTCAAGTGCGCAGTGAATGCGGGACGAATCCGTGAGAGGGGGCCCAAGAACGCCAACGAAGCAAGCCGATCGGCCGAACAGCCCAGCCGCAGCGGCGCCCCCGAGCACCAGGCGTTTTTTGGACCCTCTTGAGGCCATCTTTGGCCGTCTCGGGGCCGTCGTGGGCCGTCTAAGGCCCATCGTGGGCCATTTTGAGGCCCTCTTGGGCCCCTGGAGAGCTACGGGACCCAAATCATAGATTTTCCATCGGTTTGGGGGGTTTTTGAAGCCCAGATTGGGTCTACCATTTTTGGCCAGATCGAAGGGGCAGGGGAGGGGAGGGGACAGGGGCAGGAGGAGGGCCCAGGCGAGAGCGCCCGCTGCCGCGACGCCCTGGCCTGCAGACCATCCCCGCTGTGAATGCCTGCAGCGGTCCCGTCGCCGTAGTCTTAAGTCGGGCCTGTCCCCCTGCAGAGGGATTTTGGACGAAAAATTAAAAAGTACCCCAAAAATCATCCAAAAATAGTCCGCAAATAGTCTGGGGACTATTTTTGGGGTTTTTTTTTACCTTTTCGGGGCACTTCTGGGGTATTTTCTATTTTTCGTCGAAAATCCCCCTGTAGGGGGACACGCCCGACATAACCGTAGTCATGAAAAAGGTCCATGAGCTTGTGGGGAGCTGCTTTTCTCCGACCCGTTTGAGCCTCTGGCCGAGCAACTGTGCGCCTTGTTTACAAAAAATGTGCCGATGTTAGAGTATGATGTCGGAGGGCGCCAACTATACACCTACACCGATCCTGACCAGGCCCACCCTTGGCCCAGTATCGATGTATACACCCCTTCTGGCCGAGCGAGGAAGGCATATACACCGATCTTGGGCCCACCATGGGCCTGGCCAGGATCGGTGTAGGTGTATAGTTGGCGCTCTCCGATGATGCTGTCAGTCTCCTGATCCGCGGGGTCCCAGCCGTGCCTGGCCGGAGCTGGCGCACCCCGTGCCGCTCTCGCCGCCCCCCATTGGGCCTCGGGGACGACCGCGGCGGCACGGCGCGCGCCGCGGCGTGCGCCGCGGCGGCGGGGGGGGGGGCGGGGCGCTCTCCGGCGGCTCGCGGTAGCTCACCGCCGGGCCCAGGCCCGCGGCGGCGGCGGCGCGCGAGGCGGCGGCCTCGCGCGCCCGCGAGACGCGGAAGAAGGGCAGGTCCTCCGGCGGGGCCCCGCGGCGGTGGGCAGAGGAGGGGGAGGAGGAGTGGCAGCGCGGGCGGCGCGCCGAGGGAGGGGAGCGCGAGAGAGGGCGGGCCTGCCGAGAGGCTCTCGGGAGGAGGCCCTCCCGCCTTCGCGGAGGCGCTCAGGGGCCTTCCCCGAAGGCACAGGCGGCCTCTCGGACGGCGCGAGGGCTTCTGGGGAGCCCCGCCGCCTCCTGAGAAGGCCTGGCCCCATCTCGCTTCCCCCCCGGGCGCGCCGCCGAGATTGGCATCGAGGAAAAGGGTCCTGCGGGAGACGTGTCCCGAGGTTTTGTTCGCCGTTCGGGCCTCCTGGGGCCCTCTACGGGCCTCGGGTCTGACAGAAAACGACTCGAGACGAAAAGCTTGGCCTGAGGAAAACCTGATAAGTCCCAAACCTGTTTCCCTCAGGACTCGTTCCGTTCATGGCAAAAATATGAAAGGCCTACATATACGCACTGAACCACGCGCGCGCTTCGCGCGCGCTTATGTTCTAGCGCTCCCCCAATTGCAGACGCGATCTCAGACGATGGCAACGTCGACCGTAAACGTTGACGATGAAGACGACGTCCATCCTCTCCTTGATGTTCTCATGTTCCTCTTCTTTTCCTCTTCCGTTTCCTTCTCCTTCTTGTCGCCCGGCAAATTCTGGAAGCACTCTTCGAAGTCGGAAGCGGGAAGGCGAGGGCTTCAAGGTCTGCCTTCGGTTATTCACCAGGGTGCGCCTCGAGGGGGTCTCCGAGAAACCGCTTGGGCCTCTGGGCCTCCGTGGGGGGCGCTGGGCTTCCCAACGGGCTGGAGACCCAGCTCACGCCCTAAAGATACTCCCAAGTAGTCAAAAAAATACTAAAAGACGTCTCCAGACTATTGTTTGACTATTTTTGACTGGTCCCCCTGCAGAGGGACAGGCCCGATTTGACCCCAGACCCTCTTCCTCCTCCGCCTCCTCCTCCTCTCATTCCTCCTCCCTTCCCCCCCCTCCTGGTCTGGCCACGCCGAGCCGGTACGCTGGCCGGTCGACCAGGAGGGCGACGACGACGACGACGTCGACGACGACGACGACGACGACGACCACGACCACGACCACGACCACGACCACGACCACGACCACGGCCACGACCACGGCCACGACCACGGCCACGACCACGACCACGACCACGGCCACGACCACGAAGACGGCCCTGGGACCCCTCCCAGGGCTGAACAGAGCAGATTCCGGAGCTGAGCCCGCTCGGGGCGACGAGGCGGGCCCCCCGGGGCCCTCCGCCGGGCCTAGGGGTCGGCCGATTAGCGAGCCCTAGGGGTAAACCCTGGGGGTAAGCCAAGGTGTGGGGCCCGGGGGTAAGCCCTGGGGGTAAGTCCAGGGGTAGAGCCAGGGGTAGGCCTGGGGTCATGTTAGCCAGGTCGAGCGAGTCAGAGCGCCCCGCCTACAGCCACCCTCCCTCCCACATGCGGCACAACTTGACTGTGGGATTGGGCCGTGCAGGGGCACTGTCGGGGGCTCTCTGCGGGCCGTCTGGAGACTCTCTGGGTTTCTTCTGGGAGCTTTGTGGGGGAGACGGAAAGGACACGCAAGCAGGGAAAATGACCACGGCAGAAGGCGCAAGGGAGCGCGTTCCGGAACGCATCCTCTAGAACACACTCCATGAGGAAACGGTATTGGATTCGAGGCAACACCCTGGGTTTCAAAAACTCTCCGCATTCCGACCCACCCTATTACACGCCCATGGTTTCTCATGATCCGCCAACTCATGTACGGAATCCCACCAGCCCTCTGGGCGTAGGTGGTCTAGAGCAGATCCTCTTCCACCCCTCCCTCTTCCCCCTTGGGGAGGGGTTTACCCCTCCCCCTACCCCCTCCCCTGGACCTGGACGGGGGGGGCCGCGGGTAGTTAGAGCGTCCCAGATGGCCCAAGACGGCTCCAAGAGCGCCTCAGAGAACCCAAGATGAGCTCCAAGATGGCTCAAGATAGCGCAAGATCGCTCGAGATGGCTCCTAAGATGGTTCCAAGAAGCCCAAAGACGGCCCCAAGATAACTCCAAGTGGCCAAACAGCTCCCCAAGGAGGCCCCGAAGAGGCCAAAATCGTCCCAAAACCTAAGGAAAATCAATGATTTTTGCTTTCTCGCCTTTTCGCTTCCGATGGCCATCCGAGGCCTGGAGATGGTTCCAAGATGGCCCAAGAGGGCCCCAAGAGAGCCCCAAAAGAGCCCCAAGACGGCCCCAAGAGCGCCCAAGAGCACTCCAAGAGCGTTCCAAGAGGGGTCCAAGAGGCGATTTTAGGGGCTTCCGAGGGGGGGCGCTAATTAAACCCCCCCTCTTGTTTGATCGATCTCCTCCAAGATGGCCCCAAGAAGCGCCCAGGAAGCCCCAAGAGGTCCCAAGATGGCCCCAAAATGGCCCCAAGAGGCCCCCAAGAGGCCCCCCGGAGGCCCCCAAGAGACCCCCAAGAGGCCCCAAGAGCCCCCCCAGATGCACCCAAGATGCTCCAAGAGGCCTCGGCGAGAATGCCTAATCATTGATTCTACACAGGTTTTAGCCACATGGAGGCCTCTTGGGGGGGGGCACGGATTAAGATGACTCCAAGAGCGTCTGGGAGAGCCCAAAATGACCTCCAAGATGGCTCAAGATATCCCAAGATGTCTCATAATGGCTTCCTCTGTGTGCTGCCCACTTCTCTGATCGAGGCAATTCCTCTGGGCATCGTTTCTGGATGGGCTGGTGGGGATTCGCGAAGCGACAACAATTACATGTTAATTATACTTCATGGCACTCTGACTTGTTCAACCTCACCTACTTCGCCCCGATCATGCTGGCTGCGCTTTGTCATGCTATGACTGCCCGCTTCCTCTTTGAACAGCAATTGTGCTCAAGTCTCGTCCTAACTCGCCGGCCCTTCGGGGGTTCCTCGTCGTGTGAAATAGTTGCCCCTCCCCGAACCGCTCCCCTGGAAGCCTGGTCCGGCCAATTTGGAGGGGGGGTCCCACCTAACGGACCTGGCGGACTTATCCGGCCCTGTAAAGCTCCAAGGTGCGTAAAATCTTACACAACAACAAATAACGTCACGACGGTGCACATGTGCTCTAGGACGGCCCAAAATGAGTCCAAGAGGGCCCCGCGTGGCCTCAACACAACCTCATAGGCTCCCAAGACGGCCCAGCAGAGCCACAGGAGGACTTCAAAGATGGCGCCAAGAGGCAACAAAATGCAACGTTTCCTTAGTTCTTGGTTTGCTCAACCTTTTTGACGCACTCGACTTTTTCGAAATTTAGGGTGTCGAAGACAACCCAAGAGACCCCCAAAATCGCCCCCAAGAATGGCTAAGAGACCCCCATGAGGGCCCAGGAGGACCCCAAGAGGGTAAGCTCGAAGGGATCCTGGGAGCCCTCCCAAACAAAATTGCCCCCAAGACCTCCAACATGCCCCCAAGAGAGCCCCAAGAGGCCACTCAGGGGGCCCCCAAGAGGCTCCTAAGAGGCCCTAAAAAACTAGCCTGGCGAAGGACCCAACCGTATGCAGTTGTGCGTACCGCAATTGTGAATATCTTCTTGGGTGGCGCTCCTATGGGGCCACGAAAGCTGTGAGGGGTGTCCCGAAATGGGCGCGGGGGACGCACGTGGACGCTAGCGCTGGGGCCTTCGGTGGAGTTCCCTATGGGGCCACGAAAAGTGTGAGGGGTGTGCCGAAATGGGTGCGGGGGACGCATGTAGACGGTCGCACTGGGGCCTTCGGTGGAGCTCCCTATGCGGCCACGAAACGTGCGAGGGGTGTGCCGACATGGGTGCGGGAGACGCATGTGGACGGTGGTACTGGGGCCTTCGGTAGAGCTCCCTATGGTGCCACGAAACGTGTGAGGGGTGTGCCGACATGGGTGCGGGAGACGCATGTGGACGGTCGCACTGGGGCCTTCGGTGGAGCTCCCCATGGGGCCACGAAACGTGTGAGGCGTGTCCCGAAACGGGTGCGGGGACGCATGTGGACGGTGGTGTTGGGGCCTTCGGTGGAGCACCCTATGGGGCCACGAAACGTGTGAGAGGTGTGCCGAAATGGGTGCGGGGGACGCATGTGGACGGTGGCACTGGGGCATTCGGTGGAGCTCCCTATGGGGCCGCGGGGCGTGTGAAGGGTGTGCCAGGGGTGGGGCGGGGGGGGGGGGGCGCATGTAGGCGGTGGCGCTGGGGCCTTCGGTGGAGCACCCTACGGGGCCACGAAACGTGTGAGAGGTGTGCCGAAATGGGTGCGGGGGGCGCATGTGGACGGTGGCACTGGGGCATTCGGTGGAACTCCCTATGGGGCCGCGGGGCGTGTGAAGGGTGTGCCGGGGGTGGGGGGGGGGCGCATGTGTGCGCTCGGGCCTTCGATGGGGCTCCGTGGGGCCACGACACGTGTAAGGCGTGGGCCGAAATGGGCGCGGGGGACGCATGTGGACGGTGGTACTGGGGCCTTCGGTAGAGCTCCCTATGCGGCCACGAAAAGTGTGAGGGGTGTGCCGACATGGGTGCGGGGGACGCATGTGGACGGTCGCACTGGGGCCTTCGGTGGAGCACCCTATGGGGACACGAAACGTGTGAGGGGTGCGCCGGAATAATAAGTGCGGGGGGCGCGTGTGTGCGGTGGCGCTCGGGCCTTCGACGGGGCTCCGTGGGGCCACGACACGTGTAAGGCGTGGGCCGAAATGGGCGCGGGGGACGCATGTGGACGGTGGCACTGAGGCCTTCGGTGGAGCTCCCTATGCGGCCACGAAACGTGTGAGGGATGTGCCGAAATATGTGCGGGGACGCATGTGGACGGTAGCGTGCGGGCCTTCGGTGGAGCTCCCTATGCGGCCACGAAACGGGCGAGGGGTGTGTCGAAATGGGTGCGGGGGACGCATGTGGACGGTCGCACGGGAGCCTTCGGTGGAGCCCCCTATGGGGCCACGAAACTTTTGAGGGGTGTGCCGAAATGGGCGTGGGGGACGCATGTGGACGGTGGCACGGGG